GCCCCCCGGGGAGAAGCCGGTCCCCACTCTCCCCCAGTTCACCATGGGCCCCAATGTGAAGATCAACGTGTTGGGTGAGTCTGCGCAGCGCCCTCTGGTGGCCACTGCCGGAACCGCAGCCCCCTTCCTGGTGCCTGCTTTTTTCGCATGCTTTCGCTTGGGACACCAGTCCTTCCTGTCCCTCCCGCCCCCATGGGTGGTCACATCCCTGGCTCCACTGCTGCTGCTGCTGCCGCCGCCGCGTGCCCCCCGCCCCAGCGCACAGCCCAGCCCTTACCAGTCGGCCTATTTCTCTTTCCACAGAAGACTTTGAGGGAGAGAGCCCCCAGGTGCCCAAGCTTGAGAAGAGCATCAGCGGAACCAGCCCCAAGCGGGAACACCTGCCTCTGGCCGTGGGCATCGCCTTCTTCCTCATGACACTCTTGGCCTCCTAGCTCTGCTCTTGCTATGACAGAGAGAGGTGGGGCAGGGCTGAGAAGGAGCAGGGAGTCAGCTGTGGGGCCTACATCCTTCTTTCCATGGTTGGGAGTGGGGCCTGCACGGTACATCTGTCTGTCTATCTGTACCTGCCCTCTTTGCCCACTCTCTCTAGGGCAGGCACCGCGGTGGATCAGGCACAGGGACAGCCATAGGTCCCAGGTGGCCTGTGGCTTTGGTAATGTTTGGTACCAAACCTGAGGCCTTTAAAAGGCAGCGCTCAGGACTCCCTGACCCCGGTGCCCTCCCTCTTTGTCCCCCCAAGAGGCACATATGCCCCAGAGAGACCACATGAAGCCGGGAGGTGCCCCCTGTCACTCTCCTCGGGGCAGAACATGGGGAAGGGACTAGATGGGTGATGGGCGGAGCCTCAGGCTACCCCCTTCCCCTGTTTACAGCAATAAGCATCTTCTCCCTCCACTCCCACACAGAGGACTGTGGTTTGGATTGAATCCAAGTTTACAAATAGACACCCCTGGGGGGAGCAGGCAGTGGACAGGGGTGGGCATTGGGGTGCCAGACAGGCATGTACAGACACTATATCTCTATATATAATGTACAGACAGACTGAGTCCCTTCCCTCCTTAACCTTGATCTTTCTTGACTACCCCTTCCAGATTCAGACCCCTTCCCCACCAGGTTAGGCCCCCCTTGGGACCCCCCTGGCCCCTCTTTTGTCTTCTGTGAAGACAGGACCTATGCAACGCACAGACACTTTTGGAGACCGTAACAACAATGCCCCCTCCCTTCCAGCCCTGAGCCGGGGAACCAACTCCCAGGACCTTGCCCTTCCCACCCCATGTGGTCCCCACCCATCCTGGGCCTTTTTCAAGTGCTTTGGCTGTGACTTTCATACTCTGCTCTTAGTCTAAAAAAATAAACTGGAGATAAAAATAACTGAGTGTGTGTGGTTTCAAGGCTCATGTCCCTCTGTTTCACTGGCGGAACCCTATAGGGCTCAGGTCCTGGGTGAGCAGGGCATTCTAGCTCAGAGTCCATGGAGTACCTGGCCCTAGGGTACAGCTCTGTGTGGAGAGAGGGACAGAGCTTCAACTTGAGCCTGGGTGACTTTGGACAGACTCCTTAACCTTTCTAGGCTCAGGCTGGCGTTCTCGAAACTGTAGTCAGAGGCTTTTGGCTGGGTCCAAGGATTTCAGGGGATTTGTGAACCTAGATAGGAAAAAAAATGGCATCTTTATTTTCACTTACGTGTGACAAATTTAGCATTCCCTATGTACTTGGGCAACAGGCCACAATAGCGTTAACAGTACCTGTGACTTTGTAGCCAACAGAAATCCCGGATGTTTTCAGACTGCTTTATATCTCAGAATACCATTTATTCCTCACTACTTTGATCATAGTTGTTAGACTTTCCTTGTTTTTAACATGTTAATAAAGAAACATATATATTACATACCAAAAATGTCTGTTAACTGTGTTTCAATATAACTGGGCTCCTTCAAGACCCTTTGAGATTTTATTCATTTAAAAATATGTTCCCTGCTGGGGCCTGGGCACCCTGTGTCAGGAGATCAGAAAAGACAGAAGCATGGGTGGGACAATGGAAGGAGCTTCTCAGGAGCCCTGGAGGGGGCTTTCTCATACCCAGGGACTTTACCCCACACCGAATCTCTTACTGGCACTGAGGACAGACCAGATCCCAAGCAAGCATCTGTCCTATGTGCTCCTGTGGCTGTTAGTTGCATATGACAGCCCTCACCAAGTATGGTGGCATGTACCTGTAATCCCAGAACTCAGTGGAGCTGAGTCAGGAAGTCTGTTGCAAGTTCAAAGGCAGACTAGGCTATGGAGTGAGACCCTATCTGAGAGTGTGGTATTGGGAAGTGTTTACTGTCACCTAACAGAAATGCCTGGAGTAGAGGGCAGGCAGGGAAAGAACCAGGGGCACACAGTGGGTCAGGCTAACACCACTATACCAAAAGACTGGGAAGGCTGGCTTAGCTATTCAATTTTCCATGTTGTCAGTTGATACTCAGTGAACACCTGTCGTCAAGTGCCAGATACTGGTGGGACAAAGAAGACACTGTCTATACTCTCAGATACGCTAATTTCCAGGTGTGGTGATGCACACTTGTAATCTTGGCACTTGGGAGACTGAAGCAAGAAGACTGAGAGTTCAAGGATAGTATGGGCCAGTCCAGTGGCTTGTGATAAATCACTTGTGAAGGCCACGTGACCTGGATTTGATCCCCAGAAGCCACATAAAGGCAGGAGGAGAGGGGATAGAGAGTTGGCTCAGTAGTTAAGAATACTTGTTCTTTTGAAGGGCTTTGGTTTAATTCCTAGCACCCAGATGGAGGCTCACCACTTCCTCAGGCACCAGACATTGATGTGGTACAGACACACATGCAGGTGCAAACACTCATATGAATAAAATAAATCTTTAAAAAAAAAGACTCTTGCCGGGTGTTGAGGTGGCGCACGCCTTTAATCCCAGCACTTGGGAGGCAGAGGCAGGCAGATCTCTGTGAGTTCAAGACCAACCTGGTCTATAAGAGCTAGTTCCAGGATAGTCTCCAAAGCCACAGAGAAAGCCTGTCTCGACTCCCCCCCCCAAAAAAAAGACTCTGAGCTCAACACAGTTTACTTGCCGGACAGTGGTGGTGCACACTTTTAGTCCCAGTACTCAGGAGGCAGAGGCAGGTGGATCTCTGAGAGTTCAAGGCCAGCTTGGTCTACAGAGGGAGTTCCAGGACAGACAGGGCTACATAGAGAAACCCTGTCTTGAAAAACAAAAACAAACAACAAAAATAGATTGGGCCATAGACCGTTTTCTTAATTAGTTATTGATGGGAGAGGGCCCAGCCCATTGTAGGAGGGGCCATCACTGGGCGGTGGTCTTGGGGCCTATAATAAAGTAGGTGAACAAGATGTGATGAGAAATCCAGTAAGCAGCACCCCTCTGTGGCCTCTGCATCAGCTCCTGTCTCCAGGTTCTTGTCCTGTTTGAGCTCCTACCCTGACTTCTTCAGTGATGGACTAGGATGGGAAGTACAAGCCAAATAAACCCTTTCCTCTCGAATATGCTTTTGGTCTGGTATTTCATCTCAGCAAGAGTAACCCTAACTAGGACATGGTGTATGATCAAAAATCAGTAATACACACACACACACACACACACACACACACACACACACACACGACAAAGGGGAACACACAGTATAATATGGTTAAATGCCAGGGTTAAATCACACCTTTGCCTGGGTTGAAGGAAACCTGCTTCAGGGAGGAAGTACCCAATGCTGTCTCTACTAAGCAGTATTGGAGGCCTTGCCAGAGTGGAGATCATTCATGATGCAACAGGACACAGCTACAGATAGATCCCTGAATTGTGTATGCCAGAAAAGGCTGGTGCCTGGGATGGGGTTACTTGTGGCTTCAAAAATTTAGAATAGGTGTCTTAGTCAGCTGTGAAGAGACACCATGACCAAGGCAACTCTTATAAGAGAAAACAATTAACTGGTGGTGTGCTCACAGTTTCAGAGGTTAGTCCCACGGTCATGACCCGGAGCAATGTAGCAGGCAGGTGAGGTATCGAATGAAGAGGTAACCTGATGTAATCCTGATGTACAGGCAGAAAAGGAGAGAGACTGGGCCTGGTATGGGATTGTGAAACCTCAGAGTCCACCCCCAGTGGCACACCTTCTAATCCTTTTAAACAGGTCCACTCCCTGGTGATTCAAATACGTGAGCTTGTGGGAGCCATTCTGATGGGGAATGTACTGTGTATGTTTATCTTATTGATTGTTAAATAAAATACTGTTTGGCCAATGAGACAGCAAGTTAGACGGGACTAGGAGTCAAAGAGGATTCTGGGAAATGTAGTAGAGAAGTGGTGATCCAGGAAGGAAGTGACATAGCAAGGAGACTCATATTTAAGCAAAGGAGAAACAGGAAGGGTCCCTTTTTTCCCTTTGCCTCCTCCAGCGGCAGGATGTGATCCACCGGCAAGGGAGGACGCCAACAAGGCGTCCAATAAGTCTTATAAAATATATAGATTTATGATAATTAAGACTGAGCTAACAGATGAGGAATCCTAGTCATTGGCCAAGCAGCTTTGAACCTAATACAATTCTCTGTGTATTCATTTGGGCCCTAACTCAGGTGGGCATCTGGGCGGTTTTGGTGGAAAGATTTATTGTAACACCATTCCCATTCAAATCACAGCAGAGTTAGTAAGAGGGTAAAGGTGCTTGCCACCAAGCTTGACGACTAAGTTTTGTCCCTAAATCACAAGTGGAAAAAGCAGAGGACTATATTCTGGAAGCTGTCCTCTGACCACCCGCAACACCCTGGACAAAATCAGTAAAAGAAAAACAGTCAGACCATGAAGTGGATTCAGGGGTGGTGAAATAAGCAAATGTTTGCCCCCTTAGCACTGTGTGTGGCCTCCTGGGCCTTACTACTGCAGTAACACACACAGCGTCTAAGAGGCTGTGTCCTTTGACTAGGGTCATACCATAGGGTAGGTGGTAGGGCTGACAATCAAAGAGGGTCTCAAGAGCTAAGGATAGACCAGTGATAGAATGCTTGCTTAGGATGCATGAGGTCCTGGGTTTGATACCCGGCATCACAAAAACAACAGAAAGAAAAAGTGGTTTAACTGCTCTGACCACCTCTATCAACAACACCTGGAGTCTTTCTCATCAATGCTCACTACCTTCCTTGTGCCCACAGCCGTTACCTCTTCCTCCTGTGGTGGGAAAGATTTATGAAGGCCTCAAGCCTGCACAAGGTGGGCTCCTTCATTTTTCAGGCTGGTTAACTGGAGCTCAGAGACAGCAGTCTGTGTCAGAGCTGGGACCAGAACTCTGCACTGAGCCCTCATCTTCTCTTATTTCAGATATAGCACTCAAAGGGGAAATGCACACCCTTGTCACACAAACAGTGACAAGAAGGCGGTGGTCGCTCCTTCAGAGAACATTTCCATTCCCTGACACCCTCCCTCTCAGCCAAGGCCTCTTCTAGTTTCATTTCTTTGGCTTTGACAAAAAAAAAAAAAAAAAAAAAAAAAAAAACCTTAAAATCCAGGTGGTGGTGGCGCATGCCTTTAATCCAAGCACTCTGGAGGCAGAGGTAGGAGGATCTCTGTGAGTTCCAGACCAGCCTGGTCTACAGAGCGAGTGCCAGGACAGCCTCCAAAGCTTCACAGAGAAACCCTGTCTCAAAAAAATACAAAAACAAAAACAAAAAACACAAAACCTGAAAAAGCCAGGCGGTAGTGGCACACGTCTTTAATCCCAGCACAGAGGCAGAGGCGGAGGCGGAGGCAGAGGCAGAGGCAGGCGCATCTCTGAGTTTGAGGCCAGCCTGGTCTATATAGTGAGTTCTAGGACAGCCTTCAAAACTACAAAGAAACCCTGTCTCGGAAAACCAACCAACCAACCAACCAAACAAACAAAACCCAAAACAAAAACTTGATAAAAAGAAAGGCATTTATTTCAGTCCATCAGAGCAGAGAAGTCACAGTGGCAGGAGGGTGAAGCCCCTCGTCACATCACACCACAGTCAAGAGCAGAGAGGAGCCAAGTGTGAGGCCAGGAATGATGCTTCACACCTTTAATCCCAGCACTGGGGAGGCAGAGGCAGGTGGATTTCTGTGAGTTCAAGGCCAGTCTGTTGTACTTAGTGGGTTCCAGGCCAGCCAGAGCCACATGGTGAGATCTTATTTCAAAAAGAGGGGAGAGCTGAGACATAGCTCAGTGGTTAAGAGCACTGGCTGTTCTTCCAAGAGACCTGGGTTCAATTCCCAGCACCTACATGGCAGCTCATAACTGTCTGTAACTCTAGTTCCCTAGGATCTGATGCCTTTATACCAGTGTATATAAAACAAAGTTAAAGTAAATTATCCTTTTAAAAAGGAGGGGAAAAAGAAAGAAAAGAGAAATAAAATACCATCACTCTTGTTTCATTTACGTTTTTGAAACAAAGTCTCATTATGTAGCCCTGGTTGGCCTCTAAATCTCAGAGTTCCATGTGCCTCCTGAGTTCTGGTCTTCAAGGCATGTGCCACCACACCCAGACTGGTTGCTACTCCTAGTTAGCTTTCTCCTCCCTTGCACTGTTCAGAGCCCCTGCCTTGGAAGCACCAGGCACAATGAGCTAGGTCTTCCTCTGTCAGGTAACAATCAAGACAACACCACACAGACACATCCCCAGGCCAACATGATGGGATTAATACTTCATGAAAGCGTTCTTCCCAGGTTGTGTGGAGTTGACAGTTAAATTAACCAACATGGAGCATTAACCTACAGGATATGACGGAGGATGAAGGACAGGGCTCAGCACTTAGATGAACACAGACCAGGGCCTTCCAGGTATTGCCCTAGGGCCTGAGCTTTGGCTAATTTTGCTGTCCCTACCCTGAAGCCCAGCCTGCAGATGAGGAAGGCA